CTATTCACAGTAGCCAAGACATGGAGACAACCAAAGTGTCCTTTGACAGATGACTGGATAAAGAAGATGTAGTACATATATAATGCAATACTACTCAGCCATAAGAAAATATTAAATACTTCCACTTGTGACAGCATGGATGGATCTTGAGAATATCATGCTAAGCAAAATATGTAAGATGAAAAAGTCAAGAACAGTATGATCTCACTCATATGTGGGATAGAAAACTGAAAGCAATAAATGAACGAACAAGACAGACAAACAACAACAATATGGTGGTTACCAGAGGGGAAGGGGATGGAGAGAAGGCAGTAAAGGGTAAAGGAAGTCAAATACATGGTGACAGAAGATTTGACTTTGAGTGGTAAATACAAAATGCAATATACAGATGATGCATTATAGAAATGAACACTTGAAATCTACATAATTTTATTAACCAATTATCACCCCAATAAATCTAATCAAAAGGAAAAGAAAAAGAACAAGCCCAAGCCCAGATAGCTTCACTGCTAATTCTATTAAATGTTTAAAGAACTAAAGCTCCAGAAATAATATAACTAAGCAATGAAGAGCTACCCAACCTATCACATACATATTTCAAAGCACTGGTGATCAGGATGCTCAAAGAATTGCTTGAATTTGGTCGAAAATTAAATGAAAAAAATGAAGGCTACACTAAGTGAAATGAAGGAAAATGCACAGGGAACCAATAGTGATGGGAAGAAAACTGGGGCTCAAATCAACAGTGTGGACCAGAAGGAAGAAAGCAACATCCAATCAGAAAAGAATGAAGAAACAGAATTCAAAAAAAAATGAGGAGAGGCTTAGGAACCTCCAGGACATCTTTAAACATTCCAACATCCGAATTATAGGGGTGCCAGAAGGGGAAGAGGAAGAGCAACAAGTGGAAAAGTTATCTGAACAAATAGTAAAAGAGAACTTCCCCAATCTGGCAAAGAAAATAGACTTCCAGAAAGTCCAGGAAGGTCGGAGAGTCGCAAAGAAGTTGGCCCCAAGGAGGAACACACCAAGGCACATCATAATTACATTACCCAAGATAAAAATGAAGGAGAGAATCCCAGAAGCAGTAAGAAATAAGGAGACAGTCACCTACAAAAGAGTTCCCATAAGACTGTCAGCTGATCTCTCAAAAGAGACCTTACAGGCAAGAAGGGGCTGGAAAGAAGTATTCCAAGTCATGAAAGGCAAGGACCTACATCCAGGATTGCTCTATCCAGCAAAGCTTTCATTTAGAATGGAAGGGCAGATAAAGTGCTTCTCAGATAAGGTCAAGTTAAAGGAGTTCATCTTCACCAAGCCCTTATTTTATGAAATGTTAAAGGGACTTATCTAAGAAAAAGAAGATAAAAAAACATGTATAGTAAAAGGACAGCAAACTCACAATTATTAACCACCACACCTAAAACAAAAACAAAAGCAAACAACTAGAACAGGAACAGAACCACAGAAATGGAGATCACAAGAGGGTTAGCAACAGGGGAGTGGGAGGAGGAGAGAGGGGGTAAAGGTACAGAGAATAAGTAGCATAGATGGTAGGTAGAAAATAGACAGGGGGAGGACAAGAGTAGTATGGAAAATGTAGAAGCTAAAGAACTTATGACACATGGACATGAACTAAAGGGAGGGAATGTGGCTGGGAGAGGGTGTGCAGGGTGGAGGGGAATGAAGGGGGAAAACGGGACAACTGTAACAGCATAATCAATAAAATATATTTTTAAAAAAGGAAGAAAACAATTCCATTTACAATAGCACCAAAACAACAAAATACTAAGGACTTCATTGAACAAAAGTACATGATAACTGGACTCAGAAAACTACAAATCCTTTTTGAAAGGAATTAAACACCTAAATACTTTAAAAGACAACTTGTTTTCATGAGTCAGAAGACTCACTTTTGTTAATAAGTCAATATTCCCCAACTTTATATATAAATACACAATCCCTATCCCAACCTTAGCTGGAATTTTTGCAGAAATTGACACACTGATCCTCAAACGCATAAGGAAATGCAAGTGATACAGAATGACCAAAACAATCTTGAAAAAGATTAACAATTTCAACATTTACCACAAAGCTACAGTAATAACAGAGTATAGTACTGGCATAAAGAATGACATATAAGTGAACAGAATAAAGACTTCAGAAATAAACCCTCACATTTATAGTCAACTGACTTTCTATAAAGATTCAAGGCAATACAATGGGAAAAAGAGTCTTACCACAAATGGTAATGAATGACTAGATATCCACATGCAAAAGAATGAAGTTGGACCCTGATCTCACAGCATATACGAAAATTAATTTAAAACACATCATAGACCTAAATATAAGAGCTAAAACTACAATACTCTTAGAACAAAATAGAGGATTAACTCTTCATGACCTTGGGTTGGGCAATGGCTTCTTACATATGATGCCAAAGCACTAGTCATAAAAGAAAAAAATAAATTGGACTTCATCAAAATTAAAACTTTCATGCACCAGAGGACATTACATAGAAAGTACAAAGTCAACATACAAAATGGGAAAAATTACTTGCAAACATATATCTGGTAAGCGATATATAAAAGAGTCCAGAATGTACTAGGTAACACTTCATATCCACCTGCACAGATAAAACCAAACAATTAATAACATGTAGGAAGTGTTGGTAAGGAGGAATGTGGATAAATTGGAACTCATATATTCCTAGTGGAAACATTAAATGATGCAGCTGCTTGGAAAAACATTTTGGCAGTTTCTCAGAAAGTTAAACAGAATTATCATATAACCCAGCAATTATACTCTAGGTACACACTCAAAAAAAATGAAACCACATGTCTACCCAAAAACCTGTACATAAATGTTCACAGCAGCACCATTCACAATAGCTAAAATATGAAAACAAGTCAAATATCATAAACTGTTAAGTGGATAAATGTGGTATTATCCATACATACAATGGAATATTATTCAGGCATAAAAAACCAAAGTTCTGATACGTAACACAACACAAATAAACCTTAAAAACATGCTAACTGAAAGAAGCCAGACAAAAAGGGCAACATATTATATGATTCTATTTATATGAAACATCCAGAATATGCAAGCAAATCCACAGACTAGTGACTGATAGAGACTCAGTGAAGAGGGAGTAATTGTTAATGGCTACAGGGTTTCTTTCTGGAGTGATGAAAATATTTTCCTTTAGATTGTGATGATTGTGCAACCTTGTGAATATACTTTAAAAAACCCCACTGAACTGTATACTCCCAAAGGGTGAGTATATCTCAATTTAAAAAAAAAAAAAGCCAGAACCTTTGGCTATGACCATGTAACTGAAGGGGTCTGTAAAATCACCTCATTCCATTTCTCACATTTTACAAAAAACTAAGATACAAGTGGTGAAGTAGATTATCCATGGCCCTAAAGTTTGTTAAGAGTAGAACTGGAATTGTTATACAGGATATTTCTGCGTCCATTCTAAAGAAATGGGGAAAACACAAACCCACTTTAATAAACAGATCTATTCATAAGGGACTGCATCCTTTAAAAATGTAAAAATCTGTGTCCTGAATTTCTACCACCTCTTTCCAAGTTCCAGGACCTTGATTCTTAATTATTAGTAAGTATTTTGTCAAAGACAAAACAGCAACTTCATTAGTATTTTAAAAAGCACTTCGAATTGCTAAAAAGTTGAACTATCATTCACAGTTTAATATATTTCAGATACTTAATTAAACATTAGTTAACCAGGGTTTTAGAAAATCCCATAGCAATGAATTTTTGAAATGCTGAGCCACCTTTGCAATGCTTTGTACTTGCGCAAAAATATTGAAATATTTGAGTTTTTTCAAAGTTAAGACACAAGCAGTGTAGGAGGAGAAGGGTAGGTGGAAATGGAAGTATAAAGAAAATAAATGCTAATGGAAAAATACAATAAAAATCAGTTGTTATATTTTAAAAAAAGGCACTACTACCATTGAGAGTTTAGGGTCTGTATTTCTCCTAATTGAATCTGGGGTCAACTGTGGCTGGTTCAACCAACAGATTACAGTGAAAATGACCTTTCCAAATTCCTGACCCAGAGAATCAGTGAGCTGACTAAAATAATTATTTTTTTATGTCACTTAATTTGGAGTGGTGTGTTATACAGCAAAGATAATTGAAGAGCAAATATGATTTTTATAATAAAAACAAGCAACTCATTTCCTCTTTGCATGGCACTCTGGAATCATATACACTCCCTCACCAAAAAAAGCAGATATGAAAATACATGTATATATAAGCATATATATATTTTTAAGTCAAGTAAATTACATGATTTTTCAGTCACCTAAAAATATAACTTGATATGCTGGTATGTTACAGATTTCAAAGTACCCCCAGAGGTCATCATGAATATAAGCATATACATTGGCTTAGGCTTCCAAATACTGTGTGGTTCTCAAACTTTGGATGAAATTCCAGGTAATTTTTTCTGAATGGTCTTGCCTTTAATAGAATTTAACCTAAAGTAACATTTTTCTGATTACTTAGGTTGTTCTCACTAAGGATAGGTTTGGCCTACTTGGTAACTTAGAAGTGCCTAATACTTCTTTGGACATTTTAACTTTTAAGTAAGTGGCAAATTCTGGCTGTCTACATAAACTGTGTGATCTCAAGGGAATGAAGACTTTCTTGGGCATTTTCTGTAACTCACTTGGTTTGATTAGGATGATTTTAAGGATTAAATAAGAGAAGATATGAAAAGTACTAAGCACAATATTAAGCACAAAAGAGACACAATACCTCTAAAGTCTAACTTTAGAACTCAAGACTGTTGCTTAGTACCTGCAAAAGAGCATCCAAACTGATAGTAATCATATGAATTTTGAAGTCATATTTTATAACTTTTAGTGGACTGTTTTAAAAGTTAAGATTATTATAAAGCACAACATAAACTTATGCTAGGTAGAGTAATATTTCACTAAGAGAGAAGGCAATTTACAAATATTTACCTTGATCAAATATTTTTCCCATCTGTCTGCTGTAACAGATTTCCCAATCTTCCTCATCAACTTCAAATGGAGCTCCACCAATTCTTTTGGTACTTAAAAGGAATAAAAAAATACTGTTAGCCAACAAAATAAAAAATCTATAAACATGAAAATTATAGAAAAAGAACTTTTCCCCAACACTGAGTAGTTTTTCAAAAAAGATGCTGATTTTAACTATCTTTTATATCTCTGAATCAGAAAAGACTAAAAATAAGGCAAGAAACAACTAAAAACTACTTAAAGATAAGTAGGTATATTCCTGTTTTCTTTCAAAACACCATCAAGTAGGAAAGAACTGCAATGTAGACTATAGTCTTTTGGGTGAGCCTTGAAGTGTCAGTGTAGGTTCATTGATTGTAACAAATGTCATCACTGAGGTTCAGGGTGTAGATAGTGGGAGAAGTTGTACATGTGAGAGGAAGAGGGTATAAGGGAACTCTGTACTTTGTGTTCAATTTTAAAGTTGCCCTATGCAGCCAAAACTGCTCTAAGAAATAAAGTCTATTTTAAAAAACCCATTAAGTAAAAATAGTTAACTTTATAGTTCATTTCCCATAACACATATTTGGTTTCCTTACTAAGACTGCAGACCAACATAAATCCACAGAATTAAAAAGGAATCAAGGAACAGCCCTGGCTGGTGGAATTCAGTTGCTTGGGCATCGTCCTGCAAATTGAACAGTTATGGGTTAGAAACCTGGTAAAGGCACTTGCCCGGGTTGTGGGTTCAGTACCCAGTCTGGGCACACACAAGAGGTATCCGATCAATGTTTCTTCCACATCAATGTTTTCCTCTCACTCTTTCTCCCTCCTTCCGCCCTCTCCAGAATCAATAAAAGAAAAAATAAGAATCAAGGCACATACATTTCAAGTTGATAGATAGCTCAGAAATAGTCTAACAGTTTTCAAACTTTCAGAAAACTACTCTTCCAATCCATCCCTTACGTACTGTGCTAAACTCTATGCCATCCTTACAGATGCTTGACAACCTTCAAGAATGAAAAATTTACTTACCTTCCAAAGTTCTAATTATTAGAAAGTTACTCTTACACAAAAATCAAAATCTGCCTTTCTCCCTGGTTCTTGCTCTGTCTCATACTTTCTTCCTCTATTGGAATCTTAAAATATTTGAAGATTGCTACACTTTCCCTCAGAGTCTCTCTTCTAACTATAAACAACTGGAGTTCTACAAATATCCCTTGGGCATGATCTGATTATATTGTTTAATTGTACTAGTTAGACCTATGGGAAATGAAAGACACACACATGCCAGTCAAGTTTAGCATTTCTCAACTACCAAATATCGTTAGCAACCTAAGAGATATCATACTTATACCGTCCATAAGGTTCCACAATCAAAAATACTTCAGGAAAATGCTACATTAAAATTTTTTTATATCAGGACTTAAGAGCTTTTATTGATTGTCTCTATGAGCACTGTAAATATTCAAGATAGGGACATAATCTGCAGCACTTCCTAATATATTTGATAATAGAACATTTTTGGGGATTAGGACTTCTGGCCAAGATGGAGACGTGGGTTAACACACTGTGCCTCCTTACATAACCAAAAGAACAACAACAACTTAAAAACATAAAACAACCAGAACTGACAGAAAACCAAACTGTATGCAAGTCTGACAACCAAAGAGTTCAAGAAGACACATTCATCCAGACCAGTAGGAGGAGTAGAGACAGGCAGCAGGGCAGAGAGGATTCCCGGCAAGGCAGCAGCTGGTGGACCCAGTGAGGTGGTGGATAGCGGAGCGGGGCTTGCAAGGCTGCGGCAGGCGGACTGGGCCAGGCGGCGGATTATGGACTGGCCAGTCCCACATTCACATGCAGATAAATGGGGAGAAACAACTGCGGAGTGAAACACACCGCACAACCCAGGGCTCCTGAACAGGGAAATAAAGCCTCAAACCACTGACTGAAAACACCTGTGGGGGTTGAGGCCACAGCGGGAGTAACTCCCAGCCTCATGGGAAAGCTTGACAGAGAGACCCACAGAGTCCCAGAACTTACACAAACCCACCCACATGGGAATCAGCACCAGAATGGCCCAGTTTGATTGTGGGAAGCAGAGGAAGTGACTGAAAACCAGCAGAGTGGAATAAGCACCATTGTTCCCTCTCAGACCCCTCCCCCACAAACAGCGTCACAAAGCAGCAACTGGGTTGCCTCACCCTGGTGAACACCTAGGGCTCTGCCCCTCATACATAACAGGCACATCAACACCAAAGAAAAAGGGCCCAAATGGAAGAACAGATCAAAGCTCCAGAATTAATACAACTAAGCAATGAAGAGATACCCAACCCATCAGATGCACAGTTCAAAACACTGGTAATCAGGATGCTCAAAGAATTGCTTGAATTTGGTCGAAAATTAAATGAAAAAATGAAGGCTACACTAAGTGAAATGAAGGAAAATGCACAGGGAACCAATAGTGATGGGAAGAAAACTGGGGCTCAAATCAACTGTGTGGACCAGAAGGAAGAAACCAACATCCAATCAGAAAAGAATGAAGAAACAGAATTCAAAAAAAAATGAGGAGAGGCTTAGGAACCTCCAGGACATCTTTAAACATTCCAACATCCGAATTATAGGGGTGCCAGAAGGGGAAGAGGAAGAGCAACAAGTGGAAAAGTTATCTGAACAAATAGTAAAGGAGAACTTCCCCAATCTGGCAAAGAAAATAGACTTCCAGAAAGTCCAGGAAGGTCGGAGAGTCGCAAAGAAGTTGGCCCCAAGGAGGAACACACCAAGGCACATCATAATTACATTACCCGAGATTAAAGGTGAGAATCCTAGAAGCAGCAAGAGACAAGGAGGCAGTCACCTACAAAGGAGTTCCCATAAGACTGTCAGCTGATCTCTCAAAAGAGACCTTACAGGCAAGAAGGGGCTGGAAAGAAGTATTTCAAGTCATGAAAGGCAAGGACATACATCCAGGATTGCTCTATCCAGCAAAGCTTTCATTTAGAATGGAAGGGCAGATAAAGTGCTTCTCAGATAAGGTCAAGTTAAAGGAGTTTATCATCACCAAGCCCTTATTTTATGAAATGTTAAAGGGACTTATCTAAGAAAAAGAAGATAAAAAAACATGTATAGTAAAAGGACAGCAAACTCACAATTATTAACCACCACACCTAAAACGAAAACAAAAGCAAACAACTAGAACAGGAACAGAACCACAGAAATGGAGATCACATAGAGGGTTAGCAACAGGGGAGTGGGAGGAGGAGAGAGGGAATAAAGGTACAGAGAATAAGTAGCATAGATGGTAGGTAGAAAATAGACAGGGGGAGGACAAGAGTAGTATGGAAAATGTAGAAGCTAAAGAACTTATGACACATGGACATGAACTAAAGGGAGGGAATGTGGCTGGGAGAGGGTGTGCAGGGTGGAGGGGAATGAAGGGGGGAAACGGGACAACTGTAATAGCATAATCAATAAAATATATTTAAAAAAGAACATTTTTGTTAAAACAGTATCTGGTAGAATACATGTGCTCTGAAGTACAGCTGGGGAAATGACGGATTAATTTTTTTTCAGTTATTCTTTCAGACTCTTTATTCTCCACTAAAGCTGCTTTCAACTTGAAATGACCTTTAAGTAGAAAAACACTAAGCCATTCAAAAAAAGTTTGTGGGTTCACTATTAATAATCAACAAATATACTCTGCCCTTCATAGACCTACATAAGTAATGAGCCTTCTTAGTGGGGTAAGACTGACCATGGTGAGTTGGAGGTTAAGGGGAGGCCTTAGGAGGGATAGTTATAGACCAGTACACAGACAATTATACTAAGCCAAGACTTGAAGTATGGGATTGAGGAGGGGAGTGGAGAAAAGGGGAAGGACATTGCTTACAGAGTTAACTGCAGATGCAAAAAAATGAAAGACAAAGTGATCATGAACTGGAGGCATGAACACAGAAAAAGGACATGGTCATGAAGAGCCTTAGAAGGCTAGGCTGAGTAGTTTACATTTTGTTTAAAAATGTAGGCAAGAGTGCTTTGTGACTTAGAAAGTTCTCAATGAGTGAATTTTAGGAAAACAGACTGCTTTTATTAGCCTGTCTGTTTTAGAAGGTGGGGGTACAGGACAGAGATTAGATGTAAATTCAAGAAAATATCAATCAAGAAGATGAGTCACTTCAATTAAGGTACAGGCAGTACAGACAGAAGTGGGCAGATTTGAGAAATGTTTAGGAAACAAATAATAAAACTTAGTGATAAGGAGTCAAGAAAACCTGAGGCACTCGCCTCGAAAACGAAGTAGATTCCAAAGATAATACACTAGTAAGTAAAACACTGGGCTCAATCCTCGACTCTAGCACTTAATACAAGGAGACTATGATTATGGTCAAGTTCTCTGAATACTGGATCTCAAATTCCTCATCTGTAATAAAGGGCTGCACTAGCTAATTCAGTTTCAAAATTACAGAACATTATACAAAGCTAAACACTTTTATTTTTATTTTTGTTGTTAATCAGTTTTGATTTCTTCTTTTCACTTTTCCCCAAACACTAAAGTCTTAAAGATTCTAGCTTCCTATATCTCAAACCTGTTCCCTATTTCCCCCAATTTTTCTAGGGTAGCACAGTACCACCTGACTTTAGATAAATAGTTATGGACAATCTCCTATAACAAAACCAGCCCTCCAAAAATACTGCTTTCATGTCTCTTCTCAGTTACAAATATTTTTATGGCCCCTAAATACCTACATAAACTCATCCAGATTTCCCCCCCATTGCCTCAGAGTCCCAAAATTCAGTTACCAACCTAACTCTCCAATCCTCTCTCATTTCTACACTAAAATCCTTGATTCAAATCATTCTGGTCTAAACACTATCCACTAAGCATACTCAGTTCATTACCTATCACAGCTTTATTCAAGCTCTCCAGCTTACTGTTTTCCACCCGCTTGAAAGATACACACCTTTCAATTTCTGGTAAATAAAAATTGCTAGTCTGTGAGATAGCTTTCCAATGATTCTAGCAATAGTTTTGTCCTTGGAATGCCCATAGTATTGATACTGTTATCACTCA